TCAACAAAAATGGACATTGCCGAACACGATGAGCAACTGACATGATGGAACGTCCAAAAATAACTTCCCGAATGCTATACACGGTTTTTCATCAATCGAATCATCTATGTATTCCTGGGTTAGTTACTTTAGAAACACCAGAGCAAGTCAATTTTCATTCTGGCAAATAATCAACATTGTGACAATCTCATGTATTTCTGCGGGCTTCTAAACTTAGGACCACTCTGACAGAGGGTGCACCCAATGAGTTCATCATCTAGTGCACTAGCCGTGCCGTGTCAGTCATTTCGCTTTGAACGAGTAACTTTTAACATTGCCAATGTCCTTATAACAAAACTTAGTTGGATGGTTGAGTGCGTATCACTCATTCCATCTACTCGTGCCGTTGAACTAGGTGGGTCATCAAGTTCGTTCCGCACATGGCTGCGCACCAATCGCTCAGTAGTTAAGGTTGTCTTGGTTGTCACTTGCAGTTTGTACGCAGTGAAAGCTGGTCGCGGAATAATTAGTGTTCCCACCCTTATCCATACACAAGTCGAGATACCATGTGTTCATTCTGAGCACCATTTGCCATGGTATTTGCCTTGTGCGGTATGAAATCATCTCGCATGACTTTACACTGTCTAATATAAACCCACCAAGCCGGCCGGAGGTAAAGTACCCTGCGGTCACTTATTCAACAAACCATTGCATGCTGTGCTGTTATTGGTCACAGTTCGATTCGCAAACGAACCAAGATAATTCAACTAGTTGTTCTTCTTGTACTTGATAGGCTGAAAGATCGACGTGCGTTTGTCTGGAGTTCCGAAATTTAATATGGAAACAACAGGAAAACGAATCAGAACGGAACAGGAAGATGCAACAGGAGAATCTGTTCAAACCTACCATGGACGGTCTTGAACGAAGGGAGGATAGGTTTATGGTTTGAAAGGACAATTTCATGCTGTTAGAAGCCCCCTCCTCCAGCTTAGTATACTTTCTCATCGATTCGGCACCGCATATTTTGACACACCTCTGAAGTAGGCTATATTCTGCCATGACCAAGCAAGCCTGACGCGGTAGAAATCAAACACAAAAGCGATTATATCATTAATATGCGGACGTCGTCTGGCGCGTATTCACGTTTCTGATGAGAAACCCTCCACATGAAAGCTTAGTGCACTTAATTAGCAAAAGAATCTGGTGGTTTCTTACGATTTAGTTGTGGGTGACGAAAAGTCTGCATACCTTTTGTAAAGTCAAGTGAACGGATCGACAAGAAGTAAATGTGTCTGTGTGACCAGTATTTCGACATGATGTGGCCTTCTTATCCGGATCGATCTGATATGCGGAACATATTAGCCCGACGGGCTTTGATAGGAAGAACTCTGTGCATCGGATCTCGTGAAACGCGGAACCGAGACAACGTGATCTACATGCAAAGATTCCTGTTATAAAAATAGGCGCTTCCAGCCCGATGTTTATTAAGCGCCAGAGCACAGCCAATTCCAAACGCTATTCCACCAGGAAAGGCGTCATCACATTTACTTTATGTGTATTTACATCAATTTTACAATAACCGCCAGATTCGAGGGGGGCATTCTTGTTTGCCGTTCAGTGACTCCAACGTATTGGATTCATGGTATTTTTCCTAATCTGGAAAGCACACACTTCTTGGGGATGTGAGAGATCAGCTGTGGGTGCATATCAGCTGATTCTAAAGGTCTGAATGCTTCGCAAATCCAGGTGCTAATAAATTTACCGAGACTATTGGCTGTTGATCTGTTCGCCCAGCTCGGCACTTGGCTCGCAAACGTTTCATCACCATACGAGGAGACGTCATCAGTGTGCACTGATTGCCAAGCTCGGCGAACTGATTAACGATCACCTGATCAACAACCAAAATACTCACCCGAGCTACCAATATTTCAACACATTATCGAGACAATACTTGAGTTGTCCAGGAAGAGGACCACTTTGAATTAGGGACGTTCGCTTTTTAGCATTTTAAGAAACTTTCATTAAGTGCATCAATTTCTGCAAACCGTTCTTAGACCAACACTGTTGCCAACCCATACAAACAGCGCACACTACACAACGTGTTAAACACACGGTCCATTTCATCAAGTCAGCTTAAGGCTACCAGATGTCACATCACCAGTAACCGCATTATAAGAACATCGCAGCTATCTGTTTGTACGTTAAGAAATCCCCATTGGGTTGACTCATACAGAGAAGGGGGATAGTTCATCTTGTGATTTCCAAAGTGTGAAACAGTGGGACTGAAAGCGCAAAACTATCTGCTTACATCAATAGCCACACGGACGATCAGATGGAAGATCTGCCATGGGAAAGAGAAAGAAGGTACCTGAAAATTCTTCGACAACCCACGACCAGTTTCGCACTTCTTGGGGTTCATCAGGTAGGCCCAGACCCTGAGTTTCCGTCAACCTTGTGTTCTGCTTGAAACATCACAAACGAGAGATTCAGCTGGGTTCCAGGTGAGTCTCTCGCAAAACCAATTTTTTGCAACTGAGTGTATTTCGCTAGAAAGGCAGGTTTCTGTATGGGTTATCCTTATTAAGTGTGAGCGTAGAAAGTATAAGAAACGAAGAAACTTCAACAGGGATAGTGAAGATTATATCACATGTCGGTGTGGTCAGCAAAGAATGTATGCAGAGGATGGATTCACGTGCGACATCTTCCTGGGTGTTCTTCAGTCGTCACACAACGCAGATATTCGGACCCAGCCGTTGACGCGAATTTATCAGTACCCACAGGTGAGACTTCAGGGGGTTCCCATCGAAGAAAATGCTGCTGCAATGATCAAACACTCCTAGCCCTATCAAATTGATATGGTGTTTAAAGTACCCTCCAAAAGGCAACCCAATTCGATGCCGCCTCCAAGGAAACTGCCTACGACCCGTCGGCTTTGTGATTACTAACACATGCTACTGTCCCCCGCCTGAACGACATATGAGATTACAGGCCAAAAATAACTCCGCACGGGCAACTTCGGGAGCCTGCGTAAATATTAGCCACACTCATCGGGTGTGGGGAATGAAGTCACAGTACGCACCAACGGTATACCTCAAACCCGGCACACGTTCTGAAACCCTGTGATTTCAAAAACGAACCGTGATTTGAATACCCCAAGCGTGTTGTTAGTAAGGCATCTGGAGTTAAACTGCTTCCTACATAACCAACCATAAAAGCCTCGAGTTACTGGGCCTGGAGTTAGACAACCCCCACAATGACCACCTTCCAATCAAACGGTCCCATCATCATATTAAGTGTGGCACTTCTATCCGGGAACTGAACGGGAATGGGCCGGAGGGGGAAGCACCACGGTAGTGGCATAAAAGTTATCGTGAACGCCACCCACGGAGGATGCCGGATCAGTACTAGGTTAAGCTTGCGGCGAGTCAGGTCCCATGCACGTTATGGCCATACTGCTTTCTTGCCAAAGCCAAGCACGGCTGTCAAAACAGATCACACGTCAAAATCCCTAATGACCTGGGGACGGAACTGCAAGCGATAAAATCGTTTCGAAACACCACAGGTAAACAACAGACCGCAGTTGGAAGAGCAGCATGCTCAGGGTGTCCGGAGACGAGCCATTCGGAATGGACTATAAACTCGGTTAGATGGATACCTCGCGAACTGGCCACGAGCTAGAAGGCACGACTTAATTGGGCTTTATCCAGCATTGGCTAGCAACGGTAGCCCGACAACTGCCATGCTTCGCCAAAACCCACAACTTCGATTCTTTGGTAGATGAGGACCTAGCAATACATCCTATTGTTGTCAGTTATACAAGCGATGTGAACTGCGTTCAATCACGGCCTGAGGACTACTGATCATTTCTTGGCTTGCTCTGGGTGCGTGAAAAACCGGTTCGTTTCACTCTATCTAGCAAGAAAAAGAGATGCCACGGAAACCTGTATGGGGATTGTTTCGCATTTGTCAGATCATTACTCCACTGGAGGTAGTGTTTCTTGATCGCTCAGTGAAGAATTTCGCCAGCACGGAGGGTTTACACTGAGAAAAAATGGAATTGCTCATTGGTGGACGTTCCTCATTTGAAGAAACGAGGATCACCAGTACTTTCTTCTAACAGTTATTTTTCGTGAGACTACACTATTTTGAGTGTGATGTAAGTTAGAAATACAATAAACAGCAGTCGGTTTTACGTTTTCCAGTGCAGTCTAACTACGATCGTTGCTGGACTAAGCACGATGACAATTGCACCCCAAACTTACTGATGTTACATCCTTCCAAGTTCATTTCTCCAACAAGATCACGGAGTATAACACCTGATGCCATCTCTCTGGCAACTTGGATTCCAATTCAGTTTGAGGTCAAATAGACCACCAATCCACTAATACCCATGCCTCAGTCGCCAAAATTTGCTTTGTTCCCATCAGATCCAGTGGGTAGATAAATCCTAGCCACTTGCACATTAAACCAGTTTATAACTTTCAGATCATGCACTCAAAGTTAGACATCGACCGCGAGTGAGAAGTGAGGGTTACACTACGCAGTAACACGAATTTTGATAGATGAATCCTGAAAAACGTAATTCACTACGCTCTTCTACCAGATTAGGACTCACCAAATGGGCGGCGAGTTGCAAAACACCTCAACGCCGTTCAGCAACCGACCTTCCTCATGCTCATACAAGTATGCCTAATTCAGCCGAATTAATTAAGTTCCTTCGTAACTAACCGTTGTGATTACCAAACTCACAGACTGACAACAATCATTTCATCCCAGAGAATAACGAAAAATTATAAATAATTGGGACTAGTAACAAGAAGTCGAGTTCCTGATAACTTTGTTCAATCACTGCAAGTACTTCGAACTGCTCCACAAAAATTTAGGTATTCGGTTTGATTGATGAGAGATCACTTTCAGTCGATATTTTCATGTGTTCACTCACGGTGCTAGGAAGCTGAGTAAGCTGGTTCACGAAAACCAAAAATGTATGTCATACGCAATCCTTACTAGTAAGAACATACCGTAATCCCAGAGGCTACCCGGCAAACGGAATGCGACGGCTATGGTTGCTGATAGTCCCGTGTATGTGTGCAAATCCTGACAACCGAAATAGTAGTAGGACCTGGAATGACTTATAAATAGGAATCCTGTTCTAGTAGTGTTGTGGACCACAGTCCCTTAATGCCTTCTTATTACCGTGAACCCCGGTCTGGATAGCCGCCTGATCGCCTGGTGCGCCATCCATACAGGGATTCACGGTAATAAGGAGGCATTAAGGGACTGTGGTCCACAAGTTGGCGACGGAACAATTGGAAATCGAACTCCACAGTGCCACTTTCACAAGAAGAACTGATCTTGATTTTGCAACAGCAACAGGCAAAATTTGAAGTCTCAGTTGAGGTTAGTCGAAGCAATCCTCCACAGATTGGAAATTCGAAGCCCAGCCAAAACTGAAACGAAAAAATTCTCTGTTGACGCTGTTGCGAACAGAATAGTTGAGTTTCACTACGATGCAGAATCCAATTCAACCTTCGAATCATGGTTCCGAAGATAATTTTCGGACGGAATTTGCGAATTTGGATGATGGTTGGAAATCATGACTGTTACTCCGGAAGCTCGAGACAAGTGAGCATGACAAATTTATTAATTTTATTCTCCCCAAATCCCAGCCCCGTCGCCAACATGTTGTGGACCACAGTCGCTTAATGGCTCCCTGTCACCGTGAACCCCGGTCTGGATAGCCGACTGATCGCCTGGTGTGCTTGACCAAACCAGAAAAAGTCAAAGAACGCGCGAGCCAGCTGCTCTATTGATCACTGTCGCGTACAAGCGGTCAAAAGTGATGCTAAGAATACAACTCATCTGTCAAGGGCTAGTGAAAAACAACCAATGAAATGTGTCTCAACGAAAAACGGTCATTCCATTGGCAGTTATGTAGTCCCGTTATGTTCAGAGCTGGTTCTCCTAATAAGCAGACTATCGCGAGGACCAACATTGCTGCCCGTTTCTACCTATGCTGACCATTATGGGAGCGGTCGCTTTAAGTGCTCGAGGTTAGACAACAGACTGCCGGAAAAACTGAGCTGCCGAACACTTGCATTACCCCTCACCGCAGTGACTTTAAAACAGGAGAAAAACATCTGGAGAGCGGAATTGCATTCAGGACAAAATAGCACATTAGCCTAATTTCGCTGGTCTGGTAGGGGTAGCACAGTGGAAATGTACAAGAAATCAATGCTGCGTGCAGATTCAGCCGACAATTTGGATACATTCTCATATGGATAATCGGGTTACATGACTAGCAGGGAAAAAACTGGTAAGACTATTCATGGGTGTAAACAATACACGGCCTGGCTTTCAAAAATAGGCCAGATGCCTGTTGAGGATAAATGCATGCAGAGGCTTTTGACTGAATTTCTGACCGGGTTGCACGATGCAGTTTAAGAATCTTCCTCTTCAGATTCAGTTGGTGTGTCTAGACCCAGAGGGTCACGCGGGTTGAATAAACTAGATTTGTTCGTTTTCCTGATTTCATCGTCAGACGCTGGACCGGAAGAAATGCTTGGAGAGCTAGTTGACTGTTTTTGCGGTTCTGCAGGGGAGTCGGATTTCAGTTGCAGACCTACTGGTGACATACTTTCCTCTGCAGAAGCGGGTGGGGTCTTTTCATGTGTCCATTGATCAGCATCCGTCGTTGAGTCATCGTTATCGAATAAGGCTTTATTTGGCTTCGTCGGTCTGAAGGTCACACTGCGCTGGACTCCGGTGTCCTCTTGGTCGTCAGAAGAGACCGCTTTCTCGGGACGCTTTGGAGTGGCTAGTCTGCCAGTTTTCCTCGCAGACCGGTCTACGCTGAATGGAGTTGGTGAGTCGGGGTTGAACAGAGCAACGGAAGAGGCTGAATATCGCAGGCCCGAGGTGGCTGACAAATTGGAAGCGCTCTTGCGTTTTCGGAGACCCTGGCTGATGGAAGCTTTTTCTTTTTGCAACTGCTTGATGGTAGCCTGAAAAGGTAAAGAGAAATTTGAGCCGGTGGTGTTCGGGCAGAAAACCACTGGGTGATGGGGATATGTATATCTGCTCCCGGTATAACTTAAAATTTTCATAACTCTCGAAAAGACCACCTCGGATGAGTTTTGATCATTTTTTCATCTCCCGAGTCAACAGCCTACACAGGACAGTAGGTAAAAATATATCAACTTGTTTTGTCAGGAATAACGAGTAGTCCTTCGTGCCATTCTACTTTAGTTACAAGTCCGCCGTGTACTGATAAAGAACTTCCGTTGGGGAAAAAAGGGAAGTAGTTGTTCAGAACTTTACAGAGTTACGTAGGCATTGATTCACCCAGAAAACGGGAGGTTTCTGATTAACGATGTTCCCGTGGTAAGTACGTCACCTTTAAACTCGATATATTTGTGCAGGGAAGCTGGTGGAAGCTTAAAAACAGACGGCATAAGAAACAGAGGTGGCTCACTGCGAGGGTTAGTTGACAGCGAATGGTTTACATCAGGTGGTTAAACAATGAAGTTTGGTTGGTGTCTCGTACAGCACTCCCTTCCACCTCATAAAAAGCCTTTATCTAAGCAATACTTTGAAGCAGGAAAAAGATTTGACGATTCCAAATCACATAGGCTGTGAAAACAGCACCTCACTTTGAGGAGAAAAAATTTGCTACCGAAGTTCTCATTAGGATTGAAATATTCCATGGTAAGAGAATCCTCCAACAATCTAGTGGGCTATGGTTTAAATTGTTAGTATAACCTTGAAGCACGGATAAATCAACGAGTTCGATCGAGGACACTGACTCCATTACACTCGCTAGATAAAGCAATTTAAACTCATTCAAAACGAGCCAAGATACGACAACTGATATTTCGCTTGGGATTAGACGCAGCTCATTATTTTTCAACATGTTGCAATAACAGTGGGATACTTTTACTGCTTGACCTCCTTAAGAAACAACATGACAAAGACCGTGCGCTGTAGCAAAGCAGGATAGAATAATCGAAAAACTGAGAATGTACAAGCTGTTACCCTTGGCAGGTAGAACGCATAGTTCGAAACACGTAATCATAACGTGAATACTCACGCTCTTGGTGAAAGAAGACTCATGTGAGAAGAGGTTTTTTCCGGAGTTGGCCAAAAATACCAGACGATAGTTTGTCCGAATTGCGTAGTTCAACAAAATTCCTAGATTATTGACATTGCACAATCTAATGGTATCTATGAAACAGGGTCTTGATAGTCCCGTCAGCTTGAGGTTTAGTTTTGGGCTGAACTCCAGAGTAAGCGACACGCCGCGACAAGGAAAAGTACAGATGTTCCCGAGTAGTGTTCCCTATAGAAATAACGTACTGAATTTTAGACATTGACAGCAAACGAAAACCTCAACTAGAAAAGTGATGGTGTAAGTACCGTATCGAAAATCCTTCGGAAGTCAAGTTATTGTCGCAGAAAACACGTCAGAACAGGACCGTCAGAAAAACGGATCTGTGTGATCATACTATTGCAGGCAACCGCATTTGACTTAAAGTTCTATCATCACATGAGAAACAGAAAATGAGCAGCTGAAGAGCGAAAAACGTGGAACAAAGCGGAACATGGGAAAAATACCTACCGTTAGTCGATCCTGCTCCATCTGGGCTGCAGCTTTGGTTTTGAGCAAGCGATCCTCATGAGAGTCCTTCATTTCAATCATGTCTGATCGAAGGTCCGCGATAGTACGATCTTTAGCCAGTAGTTCTGCATCCTTGATAGCTAGCTGGCGTTTCAAAGCCTTTACTTCATCTTGTAGTTGACTGATGGTTAGCAAATGTTCGTTATAGGCCGAATCAAGGCTAAAATCAGAAAATCAGGACAGGACGGAAACATGGCGACACATATGGACGCTCTGTTGGCCAGCTTACTGCACAGCAATTTGGCGCTGTACCAGCTTGTCGCCAAATAAACTGATTACAGCATAATTTATCGCCTGCTGATCCAGCAGGTGATAACTACATGGCTGAGGCAACCATAACCAGCCGAAAAACTGACTCGCAATAAATCAGACTAAGCCGAGTAAATATGGACTGAGAACGTAGATCCAATAAGGCGCGAACACAAAAAGATTAGTAGAATGCCCGCCTTAACCTCAAACTCAACCCGTGATCAAGCGGCCCAAACTATATCGACGTAAATGAGAAGGATTAGAGAGAACTTGGGAAGATAGAGGACAGAGCCAAGCAAAGCAGTTCCTGCGCATGGGTTCGTCACTTCAATTCAGCTTGGAAACTTCAACCGAATCGAGTTTGAACAAATGCCCACACAGTCTCAGGGTGGCACAGCGTGTGTGTATGGAAAGGACGCCACAACCGAATGGATAGACAACAAGGCTTCGCATTCGACCCACGGCTTTGCACAGCCAATTCATGTGGTATGGCATTTATGCGGTGACGAAGAGGACAGTGACCGAAGTATGTTCGTTGTATAAAATAAGAAACATGAAAAACGTTGCTACTAGGAGTAAAACAACGCCGGTCCAAAGTACGAGAAACGCACAAAGACTGACGGCTCTAGTTGAATAGATCATATTATTAATCATCGGCTATCGTCTTTTTTTGGAAAACCGTTTTTTGGCGGAACACAGACATTTAAAGAAGGATTCTGATAGCCTCATAGATTGAACAAAACCTGTAGGTACCGCTAGGACTAAAGCTCAGTTTTACCAAGGGTGACAAACCATAACTGAAATGCAAGTTGCGTGTCACACTGGGGAAAATAAGTTATACCTAATTGTAGAAACTCTATGACCAAGCGAAAGAATTTCTGCTGTTCGTTGAAGTGAAGAAACCGTTATCCCAATTATCGGAAATAAACATGGACGTTTCAAAATCTTACCTCTGTGTTTGGGTAGATGGTGTGGGTTGAGAGCTAGACATGTTTGCTTCCGTTTTTAGTGTTTTGTAGTCGTCCGAGCGGGTACGTTTCAGCTGGCTGAAAAGGGAAGTTACAGGGGCATAACATTTACCGGAATGAGCAAAGGAAAGTTGGCTAAATATATTAAGGCTGAACCAGACGAGGAAGGAAAGCGGTTATTAACTGACAGCTCTTCAGAAAACCGACACGGGTTATGAGCACCTGTCTTTGGGTGGAGTATGCAGAAAGGAATATGATAGTCTTACGGGTAGCGAAGTCACTCCTCGTGATGATTACGATGACCTTACCTCCAGATGGAACGCTTAGACAGTGAACCGAGGCCAAAAATACTCTCCTTATTATCCAAATCCAAGCATGAGGCAGGAGTTTCAGGCCTCAGTGAAATATTTTCTGAGGTTGATCGTACAAGTTCGGGTGTTACATTCGTTCTCCACCTGACAGACCGACCAAAAGTGGTCTCCCCTGAAGTAGACTTTGTCAGTTCATCTCTATAAGGATTACACATTTCCTTACTAATTTACGATTTAATTTGTTTTACTAGCCTGCAAAAGTCCTCTCTCAATTTCGAGGTACGTAGTTGTGGCTGCCAGTAGTGAATCCCATACTCTGTTAAACAGGGACCCGTAAAATACATTTGGGCGACTTAGTTGATGGTCAGGATCACGTGCACATTTCATCCAAGGCACTGACCAAGACGAAAACGAATACATCACTAGCGATTCAGACGGTATTTCAACCTGTTTCGGAGTTTCATTTTGACCATATTCTTTGACTTTCGGGAAACAGTAAAGGGGTTACCAGTGGTGTTTACCTCTATATACTAACAAATACAGAACCCTGCATATGCCTTGCGGTTTAGATAACAATGGCTTACATATAGGTGTTTTATTTATTATTAGGTTGCCCGTCATTGCGGATTACGCAGGCTAGAATAGGGTGTGTTCATGTCTACTTTTTATTGACACGACACATAAACGTTGGTAGCTTTGCTTGCTACATGGCCGTTCAATGAGTAGCAAGTGGTTGCAAACATTTCGTCCTCAGTCTAGGTGACATCGTTGCCACATGATAACGCCATGAAGATATCGGCTCAACTGCTGGTGAAACTTAGCAACAACATCGTCAAGGTTAGCGAACGATTCAACCGCCGAATAGTGCATGTGGGAAAAGATCCATAGTGGGAAATTGTCATTACAGAGTACCTGTGCACGCACACAAGATGGTGAAATTCACTATAGGTTTTCTCTCCACTCCACCATTCCTCGAGCAAAAGATAAACAAATCAACCTTCAGGGCTTTGGAGTGATGAATCGTACAGACTATCATTGGCTGTGTTAACTCCTCGTGTGAACCAACGACAATCAGCTGCCATTTTCCCACTCGTCTGACTACTCGTGAGCAGCATGACTTACGCCTGTTCACTATACCCTCTTGTTGCCCCCTATCGCTTGTTCCTTGAGTTTTCGGTCCCGCTTAAGGTTTGCTTACTCTCTCATTACTAGATTTTGTCGTCTGTTCCTCTTCGCTTGCAATTTTGTGTCAACTCTACCCAGTTTCGAGTGTCTGCTTCGGCGGTAACGTAGGTCGCCTGGGGATCGAACTCGAAAATCCTCGGGTGTCAGACAAGCGCGCTATCCGCCCTATTTTTTTGTGTTACCTATGTATTGCGTCTTAGTTGATAGTGCTTGTTTGGATTTTGCTCTAAACGGGCATGTGCTACCCCGTTACGTAGTCAGGTAAAGACTGCGGGTATATTTAGTTTGTTCCAAATTCGCCAATTTTCCTTACGTTACCCCACTATGCGGCCTTTCCACACTGTCTGACTACCCGTATCCATCCCTGTTCCTTTTTCTGATCCTACCAGTTGAGCTATCGTTGATTGTACATTCTGGTTAATTCATGTTGTTTATCAACCCATTTGTTCTCAACGCGGCATCTACTTCCTCATTAGTGTGTCTCTCTTGCCTACTAAATACGAACTGCTTATATTCACAAAGATCCGATTCTTCTGTGGGATCCTTATCCGCCCGAATCTTAGAAGTCGATTTGTGGTACTCGCCCAGATGAGCTGCGCACCAACTGGTGCACGCAGCTCCTTATCCGTGCGAAAATCCCCGTAGACGAGGCTGATTAGAAACCGCAACAGCACCGGAGCAAAAGCATCCAAGCCATCCTTGGGTGCACGAAATACCTACAGGCAGCTTCACCACCACCATCGGTAACAGCAGCAGCAGCATCGTCACCATTATCATCATTATTAGCTGCAAGAACCGCGTACCTGTCGGAGGTTAGAGCCGCCACAATTTTGTCCATCGAGGCTTTCGGAAGGTGGGGGAGGCGGGAGCTGATAAACTGATGCGTAGATACAAATCTGTCGGTGAACTTTTAAGTGTGTGGGGCTTGGGAAGGGAGTTATGCATTGAAGGCAATAGCTTGGATGCACGAGCGCCATTGAGGGTGCGACTGGGCCATGTCTGACAACGTCTCCATTGATGTGGCCCGTCTCCCCATTCACGGAAACGGCAAAGACCAGCGCAGCTGAATCTTCTGGTAATGGCTTTCACAATTCGCTGTCAAGTCATTGTTTGATCTCCCCTGGATAATTTCCACCCTTCGCATGGTTCTGCAAAAAGAATCCTTCCAGGAATTCGGCCGACTGGCATGCGGAGCAAGTGGTCAAGCCGGAGCAACCTATGCAGTGTGATCAGTTCATCTATCGTAGGCGAGTTATTTCTTCCGAATACCATTCGGGGTATTTCAGTATTGCTGGTCCGGTGTTAGCGCCAGACTCGGGCAATGCCCGGAAAACATGGATGGTCAAACAGTGAGGTTTTGATGTACTCAGCGCCCAGAGGCCAGGTTTCTGACCCGTATAATATGGGGCGAATCGCAGCATTGTTGACGCAACCTCCGACGGATAAGTTAATGTCATGCCTACGCCACAGACGATGCAGGTTCGCGAAAGTTTCTATGGCCTTCCCGTTGCCAACGGAGATGTCTCTTTGAAAGACCACCCGAATGATACAGCAGCTCAGGTAGAAAAACTTGTCTACTACCTCAAGCGGGGCATCCGCAAGCATTACGCTAGGATACGAGCTTACCCAGTTTTGAAGTAGCACTTTACACTTTGCAGGTGTGAAGCTCATACCAAACCGTGAGCCATAATTATTTAATATTGTTTGCATTATCATGGCATCAAATTCAAGAACTACGTCGTCTACGTGCGCGATATCTGCGAGTGGACGCCCCGGGAGCACTTCGACCCCCAGGCATAAGAGGCTTCAATAGCGTATCAATGACGAAGCTGAAGAGAAAAAGTGAAAGAGGACAGCCCTACCTGACACCACTTGGTGTGGCGAACTCAGAAGAGAGCTTCACATAGACCTTCACACGGCTACGAGAGGTGACGTACAGAGCCTTAAGGAGGGTCAGAAATTCACGGAGACACCTTTGCTCCATAGACATTGCCATAGTGCCTGACGGTCCACAGAGTGAAAGAAAACTTTCAACTTAAGGAACACAGCCACTGTTGGTCGCTGCAAGCAGTGTCGCCGTCCCAAAATCTGTTGGAGGGTAAAGATTTGATCGATGCATCTCCTTGCAGGACGGAACCCAGCTGGGTTTTTGCGAATCTCTCTCCCTGTGTTCAGTCAACCGCCACGCGTTCTGTGTCCGAACTGAGCTAATATTAGTTGATTGTTTTCCATACCACTAGTACAATGACGTTGTCACACAGGAGAGAGGTAAACACAAAACGGATTCCTTTCAGTGACTAACCACGGGGGAAAAACTACGGTAATTGTTTAAATAAAAAAATGTTACTGAAACATACTCGCTACGTTGCGACTTGAGCCGACTCGAATCCACGGACGATTCATTCCTGCGCTTGCTACTACCATGGTCAGAGCGTTCACGGGAACGAGCCAGCTTGAAATTGTACGTGCAAACCCAACACAGTATCTGTCCATCCACTTTCTGGCGGCTGGCCTAGGAATAAATTGTATATGGATGGGAAAACATGTCGATCATATGAGATCAAGCTGCCGCAGCTGTAGAGTGACAGAAAACGCAACGCGCCAAACTGTGTTAGGACGAGAGAATACGAAAGGTGTGCACAAAACAGTAGATGAACCTGCTACTGTAGGCCACTTTCAAAGTTAGAAAAATTGAGACTGGGTGTTCATTTCTGCTGTTCAGCACTGCATTGTCGGTTAAGTTGGTGAATTAAGTCGCACATCAGGCGAAAGATTGTTTCCCTATGTGTTCCAGAATGAACTTGTGGATGCTTATGCACCAGGATGACTCAAAGCTGTAGTGGAAAAATGGTGTAAGAATGTATTTAATCGATTCCATAAAACTGCAGTTTACTCCTTTGAAACGACCGGCCGCATTATCGGAGTTTTACGAGAGTTATGAGAGAGGAGTTCCCAGTACAAATAAAGTTATTTGAGGTACAGAACTCGCAATTCACTGGGAACGGTAAATGCTCAATCACTTCTAATGGGGGTCGATCAAATATGTCTTTAGCCAGGAATTCTGCTATGTGCGGCTCACCCGGCGGTCTCCAAGACAATCCACTGTTAATTGTTATTTGCCTTTTCGTCATACTTTAAGTAATCAAACTGGATATTCCCAACTTTCTCCGTGGTGGCAACGTGGCGTAATGATCAACATGTGGATCGTCCCTTAAGGCGGCGTGGTTCGAATCCAGTCTGCGACACCTTTGGAGCTTGAGATAGCTCAGTGATTAAGGCACCAGCTTACGGACCGGAAGGTCCGTGGTTCGAACTCGACTTTTGGATCTCGACTGCTCATGTCTAAGCTTGAGTAACCTGAGTGTCCCAGTCCTCGTTCCTCCTTCGGTTGGCATGGCAGTTAGGCCCCGAAAGGATGCTACAGATGGATGATCTAGTATCTATGTAGATGGCCCTATCACGTGAATAACATCCTCTATGATGGTCTTGGTGCAACAAGGCTTGAGAAACTTCAATGGATATTTCAGCCCGCAAGTGACGTCAATCTATGCCGAAAAGCCGAGAAGCACTGTACAGCTGTTTCATACCTATCGAGAACCATCAACAGTGCAGATGTCCTTAAACTCTGAGGAGATCCGAACCCGCGACCCCCAGGCTAGTAGTTGAACAATTAACCGCTCAACTATGAGCGGCTTACCAGCAGTGTGATTAATCCGCACTCAAGTTATAATGAGTCAATCAGACTGCTGATCAACGACTTATGGCCCAGAAGTGGATGAAATATAAAGTTGGGGGTTGCAAACTGGGTGAATCTAGAATCTAAATATTTTTCCCCATTGAATTACCAGAATGACCGAATCCTGTTTATCTTGAAGATAGAACTCACTTGGTGATTTAGGCCGGAACGTGATTACTTACTTACAATTGAGTGGTACAAAACGAACTGAATTTGCATTGTACCATGGGTCTCGTAGGGATATTTTGGAACAGAATGAGCCACTCTACACTTACCGGGGCGATTCAAAGTTGCACCGAGACACATGACCTACGAGTATACCTCCAAGAAACAGCAGGTAAGAGGGTCTGCGATGACATCATTTTAAAGATCTTATAACCTTCACGTTGAAAATAGCTCATATCCTCTTGAATTCTTTTCAAAAAGTTGAACGATTTCAACATGCCTCTGGAGGCAAGATATCTTTTCATCGTCTAGGGATCTGGGTGACTCAGAGCTTTCAGTGAACGAGGGCGCACACGACTCAAAATGCGTTTGAAGATGCCCAGAGGAACCAGGTCAGCCAACAGTGAGCTCACGTTTCGCAGTACATCACATGATTCAACTGTATTACACACAACCCATGAGACCAGTCTACCGCACGGAAAATTCAGTTGTCAGGGTTATTTGGCAGTATAAAAGATGCGTATCGAAGGTAACAATCAGGGCGGAACAAAATTAAACAAAAATCAGCCACCACGCTAATGCTTACCTTTTCGGATATATGAGAAAATGCGATAATTTTTGTGGAGTGGTATGGCGAAAACCACAAAACCTTTCTGTTCCGTCTGGAGGGGGGCTGGTGCCTTTATGTCAAAGGTGCAGTTTGTAGAACCATGAAGTAGGTTCACACACTAATCAACAAACCAATGAGGACAATTGCACCCCGCGGTGGAAGAAATTGTGAAGAACATGCAGAAAAATTGTGATTTAATCAAGTCTCTCAATTGAAAGATCAAAGATGTGCATAGTTCCTTAGAAGCTCCGATAGTCCTTAGTGGGAAGACTCCGATAAACAATCGTGAAACCCACACCGGTGAATTTCATACGATGATAAAGCGGTTTCGGATTATAATTTCTCCCCATTTCCTATGAATTGTGGAAGCTCAAAAAATGGAGTCCTGTTTCAACACAAGGAAGAAGTTCATTGCCTCAATTCGGAACGTATGGTAGACAGTTCACAGTGCCGTATGCACAATTTCAGTAGAATTGCAACTGAAGATTTCAGTTTACACCGGTACATTACGAAATTCCCATGAAAAACGATCGTTGCAGGTTGCTGCGCGACCTCTGGCTACACCTATGACACCCTGTCTGGGGATTCGAAGTCTGGTAACAAACTATATGTTTGAGGAAATCCAGTCTATGTTACGAGGATTGAACGTCGGAATACGCCTAGAGATATAGTGTTTGTTGCCTGCCCTAAAACCCTACAACTGTGTAGACTTTGCAGTGCTCAACAAGAAGACTACCAGAATGAACAAAACTGCTTGGAGCTGAACAGCAATACATCTCTACTGAAAACAGACGTGAAGAGTTCGACTCGTAATCGTGATTGAAAACACTGCCAAAGAAACAGGCGAGTTCAATCACAGGAGGACGTCGCACTACACCTAGGAACATATGTGAAACCACAATTCGGCTTAAAAAATAGCTAATTCTCCTCTCAGTTGTCGCACGTCGTCCAAGCAACACCTGAAGATGATGGTCCCTTTTTGAACTTTTCGAAGCAAATTACCGGGTTGTCCGGGGGCCAGCCAACCCTGGTAACCGAACAGCACGTCAACCGTACGGATGTGTCACGTGCGGGTTACGGACCAAACGAAGACCTGCCCTGATTGGTCAGAACGCAAGCCAAGTTGGATCGAGCATCTTTAGTCGACGCTTCTCGCCCCTCATGGAGATTCTAGCACAACTTTGTGGAACACTCTGTGGTTTCCTGTGAATACAGTTGTAATAATTTCCCGTCGTCTCCATAAAGGGCTGTCTGAGGCTACTGTGCCTTTTGGTATACCATAGTGGGTTGAGCAGGAAGCCAAAGGACCGATACAGAGTTGCACGGCCGTTCAGCAGGTCACAACACAGGCATCGCGCAAACATGATGTTAAAATAATATTAAAAGTGAAGGCGTTAAGAAACAGGCACTCTAGATAATAAAAGATACTCGCCTCATCTTTAAGGAATGCACACATCTGTCCGCAGTTCTGGCATTCCCGAGGTTCGCCAAAACGAACCCGATAGTGCATACAGCGTTGGCATACTAATGCATTTCCGAATGCGTTCTGCAGGTGACAGATTGAGCATGGCTGCGGTTCACCATATTTGGATTTTAGTGACTGACATCGGGGGCAAATAGTGCCATACCTGCATGATGCCGGGAAAGTACGGAAAATTACATGACCAACAAAACGGAAGACAACGTACACATAGTATTTGAAATCCGACTTGCAGTATTCACACTGTTTAAAAGTGGAGTGATGCGGATTACAACTCTGAAATTGTTGTAAACAAGGAGCTCAGGCATATGAACACATACCTTGCACATTTGGCCAGAGCGGGACATTTCTGATTGCGGAAAGTTTCGAAAGCATTTTGTGCAAGCAAACAAAGGCTGTTCCATTTGGTCAAATCGAGAGGAAAGCGCATACAGCTGGAAGTGAATGAGGAAAGCAGTCTATTTAAGTGAAAATGAAATCAGCTCTACCTACAAAACGTGTTATCTGAGGGATAAACAGACGCATCATTGAGCGTAAGTATATCTGCCTTCCTCGGGTTTGATAAGCCATACTATAAGTTCTTCATGCGACATTCGCCTCCGCAGAATATATATATATATATATATATATATAACGCAAAAGACTGAAACCGGTTTACAGTTTCCGCGATTCACAGCATTGTCAAGACAGCTTCATGTTATTCGCGGGACCTGAGTATGGCCTCTTCCAAAATATACTGATAGTAGAGACTGCGTCATGAATCTCAACGCCGAAGCGCTACTGGAAGTAAACTGGTTTGTCAATTCAAGAGGCTAAGACTATAATCGTCACTCTCTGTGCTGTGCTACCAACTGATCACTGGGCCCGTGCTTTTCAGGTCTCTTAGGTCGTAGCAAATACGCTGTTGGGTGAATCTGAGGAAACAGTGAAGTGGTTATAAATCATGACCCACCAAGTGTCGACTCGTTGGAGACTTTGTTAGCTGCGTGGTAGACATTATGGCCACTAGAATGCCCATTTGGGTTTCTCATACGCAAGTCACTATTGCTTTTTATAATTTTCTGCTTAGTGACCATGCATACAGGGTGGAACAATTATGCACGCAAAATCGTGAGTATGTGGGTAAACTGTGAACGAGAAAAAAGGCTTGGAATCGTGTGGTGCAATCGAGTTCCGAGGGCTGATTGTCCACCACCAACTCGCATCAAGTTAATATCCTATGCTTCTCTTTCCCTAGCAGATANTGGGTTGTTTGGATCTTCGACGCAAACTATCATTCGCAAAAAGCTCATTGAGTTTTACGGCCCTGCTCCAATCACACCCATTGGCTACATCATCAAGTAAGGCGTGCTCGCGCTACACTTTATAGCTGGGGATATTAACCCAGAGATCCTACCTATCATCTGGAACCCAGAAAGGAGAAATTGTGGGTCGATAGGACCTCCAGTAGGCTCGGTAGTTTCAGTGTACATGTTCGAAGAAATGGTAGAAAAACATGACTACACTTGCCATAGAAACACGCACAAAGAGTTGTGTTAGTTGCAGTGCACAATAGAGAGAACAGGGTGCGAAGCATCTAGAAGCACGCATTCCCACTCAGTAACGTCCCGTTGTTGGGTCTTCAACGCCAGATTGATAGACTTCCAAAGAGTACCATTAAGTTGTCCAACTTGTCCATTACCGCGTGGATTGTATGTGGTAGTTCGACTGGTTGCCACACCCCTGTCGTGAAGAAACGTGTATACTTCACCTGATATGAAAGCTCCATCACGATCAGAATGGACGTATGAAGACATTCTGAACCAAGGGAACAACTGGTTGAAACACCTGATCACGGTGGATAAGGACACATCCGTACACGCGAAGGCGAATGGGAAACAAGAGTACTCACCGACCATTGTTAAAAGGTATGTGTTGTAGGTCGATGGAGGTGGGCCTTTAAAATCGATGCTGACGCGTTCAAACGGTTGTGTAGCTTTATTAAGATTGCCAAAAGGGTGATTGCGGAAACGAGGTTTCAGTTCTGAACAAATACTACACTGATTTGTAATCACCTCAACATCCTTGATTGAAAACGAAACTTTCCGAGCCGGGGTGGCATAACGTGCTATGAAGGTGTTTGAGATTCACGAGTGACATCACAGATATGTGATCAGTCCGTGAGAGTGCGTCAGTGGTTTCACTTTGATTACTGGCGGTACTGGACGGTACTGGACATCAGGATAGTTCGTCTCCATCTCCGGATTTTGTCGTTTTTCATAGAGCTGACCGTTGATCCGTGACACGTGAAGTGATTGCTAATCAGATAGTCTCCATGCTCTCAGGGCTTCAACAATCACGCTGCTTTCTCGATTGCTGGATGATGACGTTCACTATGTGACAGTGCGCGAAAAGAAAGCTAATTGGCGCCAATCTTGATTGAGTGGCCACAATGGTTATATAGGAAGCATCAGTTTCCACAACGAGTGCACGAGTATCGTCTACGGTGAACACAGAAGCTTTTTTCGAGTAGTATTTTAGATTATTCAATGCAGCTTGTACGCCATCTGGAATAGAGAATATCTGATTGTGGACGATTTGATGAGTTATCCGAAAAACATGGGATCCAGTGTGTTCAGTATGCCAGAATTCCAACCATTTTTCGTCGTGAACGGATGTCACATGGATGACACGACTCTCTTAGGGATCGAAAAAGTTCAGGTTCCCGTTTTATCTTACGGTGAGATATCACGTACCTAGTAAGTGTTTTCGCAGTAGCTATGATGCTCTTTTCGTGGTCAAAAGTAATGCCGTGAAGTTTTGAGGCCTCTACGAGTTTCTTGAAATTCCGATCATGTTCCTGGGCATCGCGACCACACACGGCACATCGTTTACACATAAAAACGTATCGAGGAGACCTTCTTTGCGTATGATGCTGTCTATGGAGCGCTGAAAGCATCATCTGACCATCATCATCTGACCTAAAGCTGCCACCTTGGCGTGGTGGTCGGGCTTGAGTGCTGCAATGATCCCGCGGGCTACACTGACTGGAACTTCGTTCCACAAGGTACAACCATGCCAGGAAGGCCAAAGGGGAGCAGCCAAACCAAGAGCAGCGAGACCCCGCACTACGAGTAATCGTGGTACGAGGCGGTCTGGGGATAAAGTCGTACTGTCCTCTGCGACAGGAGTGTGAAGGCAGTAAGGTGTTTCCCCCAGGCGACCAGCATGTTCATATTTATGGAAGCAACGATGCTGCCTTCCCCCGAGGAAGGACGGGTTAGAAAAGATCGGCCCCAAAAACCGCACACCCCGAGCGCCCAACGGTTTACGTGACCTCCGACGCATTATCCAATACAGTCGAAATACCCCCCAGGCGGCATGTCCATATTTATGGAAGCAGCGATGCTGCCTTCCCCCGAGGAAGGACGGGTTAGAAAAGGTCGGCCCCAAAAACCGACCGCACCGATCGCCCAACGGTTGACCGTGACCGCCGGCGCATTATCCAATACGGT